AGTGACTAATGTTGCTGTGAGCATCCCTAATGCTCTTAGAATTTGTTTTACTACAATGAAAACATTTTAAAAAACTGAACCATACTACTGTCATAGTGCCTCTATGTATTGGCACCTTGTCATGGTGGAGGGGTTTGTGTGTCCCAGTGATCCAAGGGACTATGTTGTCTGGGGACTTTTGTTGACCCCTGGTAGTCTCCAAAAGCAAACTGGTCCTGTGTGAGGGGACCAGACGAAGAGCTCTTTATCGTGTTTTTTATTGTTTTATTTTTGCTGCTTGCTGTCTTGTTTTTTGTGCTCTTTGCCAAGACTTGGAGGTGGTGCCTTGCTTAGGATTACCATAATGACCCTAATATCAGTAAAAAGCACAGAATTGCTGCTTTCAGGAACTGCTGGAATTTTGCAATTGCACCAGTGGCTCAAGAGTCACGGTAGTTTGACACCGTGTTCACACATGAGGATGTTCATAAGTGCACAACGCACCAGGACATCCTGAGTAGCACTCAGGTGAAGAGAAGGGCAGAGCTGTTAACTGATCAACACCTGGTGGCGAGTTGGATCAGGTGGTGGGAAAAGACGTCGGACAGACCTGGCACACCCAAATTTGCCAGGTGCACTGGGAATGCCTGGCAGAGGCCCCAGTCTAGGAGATATTCAACTCCCAGCAGAGCTACAAAAGGGTTTTGATGGGAAGCTGGGGACACTGAATGGAACATGTTCTACACCTCCATTGCTGAGGCTCCTGCAAGGAGCTGCAACTGCAAGGTGTTGCTTTTCAGGCTTGTTTAGCCTGTAGGATTTCTGCTGATGGGTACTGGCAGTCCAAATGGTTTGTGGCTCGTAGCTGAAGCAAAAGCGCTGGTGTGGCAGATATTTGGTGAGGCCATGGATCAAGACTTTCAGTCTGCCTTGAAGCAATTCTGGCAAATTTTGATGCAACTGAGGAGGGAAGCAGTGCTTTACTCACACAGTGTATAGTGGGGGTGGGGTGCTGATGTGCTCAGGTGGGGATGTAGTTGGGAGTTGGAAGGAATACTCCGAGGTCCTCCTCAATCCCACTGACACACATTCTGTAGAAGAAGCTGAGTTTGGGGACAAATGGCCTGTATTTGTATAGCGCTTTACTCGTCCCTAAGGACCCCAAAGCGCTTTACACATCCAGTCATCCACCCATTCACACACTGGTGATGGCAGCTACATTGTAGCCACAGCCACCCTGGGGCGCACTGACAGAGGCAAGGCTGCCGGACACTGGCGCCACCGGGCCCTCTGACCACCACCAGTAGGCAACGGGTGAAGCGTCTTGCTCAAGGACACAACGACCAAGACTGTCCAAGCCGGGGCTCGAACCGGATTACAAGGCGAACTCCCAACTCTTGAGCCACGATTGCCACAACAAGGGGGACAAGGGGGACAAGGGGGACGACGAGCCCACTCCTGAGGTCACTGAGGTCGTTAGACAACTTCTTTGTGGCCCCTGGGGTGCACAGAGCTCTTGAATGCTCTGGATATTGTAGGGCTGTTTTGGTTGACACACCTCTATACCATATCACATGGACATCTGGATGGTATCTCTGAAATGACAGACTGGGGTGGTGGATCCCATCTTTGATAAGTGGTGGGTGTTCAGAGGGATGACACTACTCAACCCCACTGGAAAGGTCTATGCCAGGGTACTGGAAATGTGAGGAGGAACAATGCAATTTTCAACCTGGTCGCGGAACACTAGACCAGTTATTTATCCTTTCACAAATATTTGAGGGTCCGTGGGAGTTTTCCGAACCAGTCTACACGTGTTTTGTGGACCGAGAGAAGGCATTTCCTGGGTACACTGTGATGATAAAGGGATTGACATGGTCAGCAATGATCAGGTAGCCTGTAACATTTAAACACTTCTCAATGGGGGCCAAGGAGAGCAAAGTGTGCCAAGCAAATAATGTCACTGTCATATTATCATCTGTCTTTGTTGTTTTTCATTTATTTGAAAAGAAAAAACAACAACAACAAGAAAATATTCCCCACGCCATTATACCCCCGGCAGCCTGAACTGTTGATACAAGGCTGGATGGATCCTGCATGGATACTTTCAAGTTGTTTATGGCAAATTCTGACCCAGGAAACAAGACTTATCATACCTGGCAATCCATGTTCCCTCTAATGTTTCACGTGTCTGAGCGAACACACAAACTCCCTGAGCGTCCCTTGGACCACTGTGAGCAACAGCAGACGTGTGCACTGTGGTCACACCAGCATCCAATCCATCCAAGTTACATGTTTATTAAAGTAATCAAATTACAGCATTTATGTTAGACTACTTTTAATTAACTGTTCATGACCTGTGCAGTGTGTTAACACAATTAGAAGTAAAAATAATTTGAACTTCAATTTTGAAAACACAACTTTCTTTAATAAAGCTCTGACTGTATTCTGAGTCTGTGGTCTGGGAGAGAGTCTGTAACTCTGTCTGCAAATACAGTAAATAATGACCAATGTTGGGCAATTAAT